ACCCCAGGGTTTTGCATGAGGACACAAAACACACACTGCAAAGCCAGCTGGGCATTTCTCAGCTGCCAAAGGAGGTTCCCAGGTAGGTGTGGGAATCTGCGGCTGTAGCAGAACAGGGTCCCATGCCGTCCAGGCCACTGCAGTGCCAAGGCACTCGCAATAGCTCTGCCTGCAACAGGTTTTCTGGCTGGCAGGAAAAGTCCAATGTGGCAGCACTGGGGGCTGCAGGCGGGTTTTGGCAGGGCAGCGTGAGCAGAAACAGCAACGGAGAGAGTGGAGGCAGAACATGGGGAGGAGCTGGGCTCAAGGTTAGACCCAGAAGTAGGACCATAGTAGGAGCCTTGCTGGCCTGTGCGTCTGGAACTGAGCAATCTCTGGATTGGGACTTCAAGCTATGTGCTGCTTTTTTTTTTTCTCTCTCTCCCTCTCTTGAATTTCTGGTGTTAACATGCATGGGCAGGTGGGCTTTGCTGCTGCCTTTGATTGAGGGACAACTACAGTAGGAGGACATGGTCACTAGAACACCTTTGCTGGGAAAAACATGAATATACGTTATGGATTCAGTGCTCAATGAGCAAATATAGAAAGTGCATTCAGACTCTGAGGAGTTTTGTATGCAACACTTCAACACACGTGCAGCGGTTTGTGGTGGGTCTGTGATGAGTGGTGGTTTGTGGTAACTGGGGTGGGGAGTGTGTCTGTGTGGCCCCTCGAGTGGCCGCAGAGCCATGGTCCCGGCGTCCAGCCTGGCAGTGGAAACTTGCACCCAGCAGAGCCCCGCAGGCAGCCACGTCCCTGAGGCTCAGGATGCCCATGGGGCACAGAGAGCGCCCAGCAGGACTGCCGCAGCCTCAGTTCTGCAAGGAGCTGAACTGGCGCCCGAGAGAGGCAGTCAAGAACACCAATGCCTGGTGCATGGTAACCGCACACTGCGCTCAGATGCTGGCACGCTGCTGTCTGTCCTGGCGCACACAATGCTGAAAGACCCTATTTGCAATATAAAAGTAATTGTAAAGGGATTTTGGAGAATACAGGACATTTACTACGTGTCTCATATGTACACAGTTATTTTTAATTAAATCTGGATTTTTTTTTCTTTTAAGCACGTTGGTATCTCCATTTAACACACATGGTCTGTTGTAGCTGATGGCAGCTCTTAGTTACATTGTACCCCTCCAGAAAACTTTGGGCTTCCCATCAAAATTGCCTCCTTTCACGTGAATGTTCAGACTGATGTGTCTTGTATAACACATAGTTTTCCTGCCATTTGTATTGCATTTAAATCTAGCCCTGGCTGCAGGCCACAGAGAAGCTAATCCATATCCAGCTGAAGCTGAACCTGGCCCAGCTTCTGCAGCCTCTCACGCCATCTCTCCATCGCCTGTCTGGGGCATCAGAGGATGAATGCCCTCTGCCAGGGCCTCGGTGGTCCTGGTCCTGGCTTCTTGGGTGTTGTGGTCTGGCTGAAACATCTGCTGGAGGAGGAAATCATGCCATTGCCAAGCCATGGTAAAGAAACAGACCCTGGTAATAAATTTGGGTTCAAACTGCCTCTGCTTTCCCTTGGTCCGTGTTTGATGTGCACTGCTCTCGGCGGGTTTGCAGTCAGGTTTTTGAGGCTGACCGTTGCTGCTGGTGTGTCCCCACCAGGAGCTGGTGCACTGTTAGAGTCCATGGCTGCAGATGGCCTGGAGGCAGAGGAAGGAGCTGTTTCATGCATAACTCCATAACATAGTTTCTGGCTGCCGTCATTTCAGCACATCTGACCAGCTCAATTTCCTGTCTTGAGTTAACTTACATTCCATGGCTCTCCAAGCTTGTGTTCCTGTTGGGCTCTGGGGGTGATCTGTTTTAATCTTGTAGGCTGAAAGAGCCCAAGTTTGCCATTTGAAAAGAATTCAAACTGTGTGTGTGTGTAAGTTGCTCCAAATGATAATGTCAAAAGGGTAGTTGGTCCCTTTTTCTATTTACTCTATGCATTTCCAGCCTCTGCCCCATTTTATGAGCTTGGCAACTGTTTTCTGAAATGTATTGATGGGTCTCAGCAGCAGCAGTTCTGAGTTACTAGAGCTTGCAGAGATTAATGTTATCCTTGTCCATTCAATACTACTAGCACGAGGTGCTTGGGGGAGCTGACGTACCAAGCCAGAGTCCATGAGAAGCTGCTGAGGAGATTGCAGATGCCTGTTCAGCTGCTGCACACAGTGTTTCTTAAGAGTCAGTGTGAACGTCTGCAGTTACAATGAAGTGCAAAATGTGCACTGAAAAGTTGTGTTTCCATCACTTTAGCTATGAATAAAATTATTGTCTTCAATATGTAATTTATGAGTTTGAGTTGAATGAGTGTCAACTGAGAGGGGAATCATATTGTGTACTAATACCTTCAGGAAGCATGTCAAGAGAAGGGGGACAGACTTTTCAGTGGTGGCCAGTGATAGGACAAGAGGCCGTGGGCACTTACCGAAGCACAGGGCTGGCTGACTGTGCCTGGCCCTGCACCGGGCTGGGGCATCGTGTCTCCTGTGTCACCAGCCATGATGAGGGCCCGGTGGACAAAGGCAGCTCTGAACACACCAGGAAACACAGGACACTACCACAGCAGCTATGGAGCCGTGATCTAACCATGGTGCTGCTGCCTGTACGGGTACAAAGGCCCTAAAGCCGTGGCTTTGGAGCAAGGCCCAAGAGCAGCATGAAGGATGCACCAAGCAGGGGGAACACTCACCTAGATGCATGGGGACTCAGAAAAACAGCACAAAGAAGAAGCTGGGACTCTAGCAGAACCATTTCCTTTTAGGCTGGTTCTTTTGTAAAAGTTTTTTTTCAGTTCTTTAGCACAGCAAGGACAGAGAAAGGGGTGGGAGCAGCAGCAAGGCCACAACGCTGTGTCCCTCCAGCCCCACGAGTGGCCACAAGGCAGCCAGGAACCACAACCCCACCACCTCATCTCAGCCCAGGGAACAGCCTCCAGCAGACGTTTGCATCAAGGGCCTTGGTGGCCCAATGGAGATGTTCAGCACAAACTGTGCTGGAGGCCAGGTCTGCAAACCCACACCATGGAATAAGCTGCAGGCACAGGAGCAGCAGCACATGGACAACCCACCCCCAGGATGGGAGCATGGAGCCAGGAACTGCTGCACGAGGAGCACCGTCCCCACAGGGTCCTGCCCAGCCACCCACCCCGCCAGCCTGGACCCTGCTCACAGGGCCACCCAGAGCACCTTGCAACCGAGGGCAGGTCAGCCACGAACACAGTGAAGGGGGCTTAGCATGCTACAGGAGAAACTTTATTCAGTTCATTTCAAAAATATTTGCAACCAAAATTTATTTTTGCCAGTTCACAGAAATAAGCTTTAACATAGAGGCTGTATACAACTCAAATACAGGTAATACTTTTAGCAATAACTTACAAGTATAAACTAATGGTAAACTACAATTTCACAAAGAATTGTAAACATTTTGCAGAATTGCCAGTCCTTTCTTTTAGGCAAAGTGCTCTTCGATAGCAAATAAATTAACAAATACATAACTAGAGTAGACTACTTCCAGACATTACAAAAAGGCGTTTAATAAGGCTTGTAAACAACATTATAGTTACTTATGCAGGATCCATAAAAGTGTCTTGCAGGCTAAGTATACTTACATACCTGGACAGCAAAAGTGATCTTGAAAATGGTTTAGATGTTAGACAAAAAGTTAACATTAATCTCTCTGTGATGGTATTTTAACACACATTAGAGGACCTAAATATTACACCCCTGGCAGTCTGTGTCCCCAGCAGAGGGGTTAGGTGTGGCTGATGGGCAGCTGTGTCATCGAGTGGGGTAGCAAAGGCTGGAGGCCGAGCGCCGTAGGTGAATGAGCTGCAACGAGAGAGGTTGACCCGTCAGCTTCACAGGAAGCGGAAGAGACCAAGACCAGCATAACGCGCTGCGCGACAGTGCGGGGCTCCCACCCCTGCCACCCGTGGAGCACTGTGGCTCCTGTGACAGCGGCCCACAAGTCCTGGGCACCCACGACTCCTGCCACAGGGCAGGCGCACAAGATAACTGCTTTCTTTAAGGTATTTCTATTACCGCAGCATAAAACAGAACAAAAACAAAGAAAACACACTTGGTTTCTTATTACCAGTATTTGTAGCAAGGAAAAGGCACAAAGTTGTCTTCACACTCAGATCTTCTGTTATGTTATCACGGTGAAGGCTCTTGCTAGAAGAGCAGTGAGGTGCATATGCCTCCTGATGAGGTACAGAAAGCAGTTACGGTACTAAGATAATTGGTAACAGAATACTGGAAATGAGAAACCTGTTACACCTCCCTTAGTCCCTGCTACAGCTGCTAATGCTTTACTAGTACTAGTAACCTCTATCCAGCTAGTTAGCAAGCATTAGTATCACACGGCACGGGCCAAGCGGAGCAGCACTGACGCAGGGCACCCACCGTCCATGTAGGTGTGCAGCGCAGTGAGCATGGTGCCGTCGGGGGGCACGTAGGCGGCATAGGCCATCTCCTCCAGCATGGGGGGGGACAGGCGGGAGGGCTGCGCGGCAGAGACGGGGGCGGCGGACGAGTGGTTGGGGCTGACGTGCTTCTTGTGGCGCGCGCGGCAGTTCTGGAACCAGACCTGCGGGGAGGCACGGCGGCGTGAGCGGCGCCCGCGCCCAGCACCAGCACCCGCTTACGCGACGCTCAGGCTGGCAGGAGCGGGTTTCCTACACAGCAGATTGAGTATTACTCATCGACTCTGCCCTGCAAAACGGATCAGTAATACTCAAAACCCTAGTGCTTAAGTCATCACAGTAATTTTGAAAAGAACTGTAGTTATTCAGAATGGGCTAAAATCAGCTTTTTAAGAATGAAGTCAAGTATAGGTATATGTCCGGCCTAGGACATATAACCATGTCTAAACTACCAGATTAAGCCTTTGTCCACCTCTTGGTGGACACGGAAACCCGTCCTCGAGCTGTCCCCGCGTGTGCCCCAGCTCAGCACAGTCACCTGTATCACGCGCCTGCTCAGGCCTGTTCTCTCTGCCAGCTTCTGCAGCGTCTGTGCGTCCGGGTTATTGTCCTGAGCGAACTGCGCTTGCATGACCTGCAATGTCAGCAGAGGGATGCAGTTGTGCAGTCCTCACACAGCCACACTGTCGAATCCTCTTGAGCTGCTGGATTTAGGAAAGCATCTAACGACTAGTCCCCAGGCAGGCTGCTGGATACATTAAAGCAAAGAATTTCTTCCACCCACAAAGGACGACCCTTGCAGTGAGTCTGGACACCATGCCTTCCCCAACATAGCTGAATAAAGAGACTTTTGCAGAAAGAAGGAAACCAGCTGTTTGCACCAGTCAACAACAGCAGAAGCACCATGTACAATTGCATAGGAACCAATTGGGTGCAATTCAGCTGGTTCAAACTCCCTTGACAAAGACACAGCCCATGGCAACTCAGCGGCCAGTACATGGCCCAGGGTGGGGTGAGGTACAAGTTCTGATCGGCCTCTGAACTTGCCACTCATCAGCCACAAGCTCCATGTCCGCACGAGGCTGCAATGGGAGCCGCTATGGGTACACCCGGCAAGCGCCCCCGCGGACATGGGGCTGCCGCACGAGGCTGCTGTGGCACCCAGGAGGGCGGCAGGTCAGGGAAGTTGAGGCTTGCACCCCCCACACTTGCGGACGTGGCTGCTCCACACTGGTTCTGCAGCAGTGACGAGATGGGAACATTGGAGAAGGGAAGAGCAGGCGACAGCAGCGCCTGGCTCCCATTCCTGTGGCTCCACAGGTGAGGGACAGGGCACAAGCAGGGAGATCCCAGTGCCTCAGCCTTGGCCCAGCACTTCTCAATGGCACCTGGCTCCCACAGACCTTGTCCCAATGGGGAGGGGGACATGCAGGGGCCACGCTCACGAGGGGCATGCAGAAGCCTCCTCAACATTGCATCGAGCACAAACTGGGCAGCACAGAGGACCAGCACATACTGCAGAGGCACCTTCCCTTTACAGATCCCACTGCTGAAAAAACCACTTTCCCATGTGAAACACTAACACTGAACAGTGGCACATGTCTCCCGACACTGTGCAGTCCCGGGCTCAGCGCTGTCACGGAGACCAGAGCCAAGAAGCACCTGCAAATCTGTGGAGGAGTCAGCAAGACCAGGCTGGCACCAGCACTGACAGCACCAGCAAGCGCCACCTTGGCAGCATGAGGGCAGCTGGAAAATGTGGGGTGCCCGGGACCAGCCTGCACCCACAGGAACCCCAGGCACCTGAGCCAGGGACATGACCCCATGGGAGCCCAGATGCAGCCCGACAGCAGTGCCCGAGCCCACAGGCGCCTCCGCACCTAGCGGGGATCCCTCAGCACGGCTCTCCGTGTTACATAACTCTGAAATATTCCAGCTTCATCAGTGCATGCCGTGATGCATGGACTGATTAGAGAGATTTCATCAAGCAACCATAGTCATCAGCCTCCTCTTTGTTTCCTTGCTGCAGAATTACTGGCTGCCCCCAGGGAAATAAAAAGCTCGAAGAGAAACTATTTCACATAAAACTGCTGAAACTAACAAGCTAGTCCAGAAACATGCTGTGTCTTGATAATTTGTGAAATACTTTGGAGTATACAAGCCTTTTCCCCCCATTCCTTACACATCCAGTTTCTTATTGGCCCAGGAGTTATGTCCTGTGTAAATCTGAACTAGGTAAGTTTTCAGCAAAACCTTCTACCTGGAGCTGGTCTGCTGTGAAACTGGTCCGAGCTCTCTTTGCTGGTTTGGGGTGATTAACATCTTGCTCTGTTAGTAGTGCTCCTTCCACACTAATCCCGTTACCTGAAGCATTAAAAAAAATAATAATAATTGCTAAACATTCAAAAATATTTTATAAATCAGACCATCCTCCAACAATAACTAATAGTGCTTGCCTGGTTGAGTGCAGATTGGGGAAAAAGAAAAAAAAAGCCACTTTCAGCTCAAAGTTACATGTCTCTGGCACCATAGCCCAGCTGGCTCCCTTGCAAGAGGGGAGGAGTACACCAGCATGACATTTTATGGCCTAGATATGCTTCACTTTTCCATAGGATAGAAAATAAGTTGTACACACTATGAAAATAAGATATCAAATAACTTGTACATTGTTTTAATTTAAGAACCTGCACTTCAGTCTTGTTAAGAGGTCATAACCTAGCTTTACTAAGGAAGAAAAAGCAAAAACCAGCAGTTTAATTGAACTGAGCCACAAGCACGGTTCATAGCAGCAGCAGCCTCTTACCATTTTCAACCTCTCTCTTCAGGTTGTCCAGCATGCAGTCGTAATGCACTCTGCACAGCACTTTCTCCTCGACCAAGGCAAACTCCTCGCCGGTAGAAAGCTGCCGCTTGCAGGAGAAGCAGGCGAAGCAGGCCAGGTGATAGACGTTCCCCTTCGCCCTGCGGACCCAGTCGGTGGCGTGGATGTGCCTGCCGCAGCGGGAGCAGCGGGTGCCGTAGCGCCTGCGGGAAGGAACGAGGGGCTGGAGCCGCGGGGCCGCGGCCCCCCGCGCAGCGAGCCCGTGTCCCCGCGCTCCCCGTGCGCTCCCGCCCTCACCTTAAGGGAGGTGCCAACTTCTGCAGCTGGACTTTCTTTAAACGACTACCCGAGTGTGCAACGCTCGGGCGTTTGTGCTATAAAGACGATTTCGCCATGACCAGCTGGCAGCGAGAGGTGGGAGCAGCTGCCTCCTGCTCCGAGCCCTCCCGTCTGTTCAGACACATTTCACATGATCCGAAGAAAGCCAGTCTGAACTGTTACATTTAGCTGCGTCGTCCTCCACTAGTCATTCAACCCCCCAGCAGTGCAAGGGGAAAACCTAGATTTTCATGGTCATTTCCTTAATTATCACAGCATGATTGTATCACCTTTAAACGAAATTCAAACATCTGCAAATATTTATCTGGCTAAGATAGAATATTTCCTTTTCAATGGGAAACTAGCAACCAGAATACATTGATTATATAGATAAGCATTTGGCCTGAGAATTTCTCTGGACTTGTAAGTCCTTATTTAGTCCCACATAACTGATTTGCTTTTCGAAGCAGCTCCCTTTCCATTTCAAAACCCACTGGGTGAACACAACCCCCAGGGCAGATCCACATGCCGCTGGGCTGGGGGGCACTAGTGATCAAGCTAAACTTAATGACAAAGTTCTTCCTGCCTCCTGAACTGAGGATTTTTGTCTCTTCATTCTGTGACCAAAAGATTTCCCAACGCAAGCAAGAATTAATAATATTCTTCCTCTGAGGATTAGATCCTAATCCTGGAGGTGCTTCATGCTTTAAGTCAAACAAATCACATAGTGCTGTAACTGTTGAAGGTTCCTGTGATGTTTAAAGGGTTTGATTTGGGTTATTTTAGTACTTCTGTGCAGTATCCCAAGCCTGGAACAACACTGCTCTGGTTCCAGAGTATCACATTGATCTGCCTTTTACTCAGTAGCTGCACTGCTAAGGGCAATTCTTCGTGCACATGAGAAATTAAGAACCTGCATGATGGTAATTTGACTCCCTCCCCCCGCACATGCATTTCTTTCTGCATAGAGCTAAATTATTGAATAAGAGCAGTAGCTATGAATAAAAAACGGAACGAACACACGCCCTAATAGCATGATATTACGTGAGACAGACTCAGAATTTCCCAAATCCCTTTCTCACAAAGGTCGGTAGTTTCTGACTACTAAAACAAATGTAGCAAAAGAAACAGTCTAAATGCACAGTGCAAATTACAGCTCACATGACAGCTGACAGGCAGGTACCACATCCTATCTCATTAAAAAAACAACAACAACAAAAACAAACACAAACCAACGGTACGATATACCTGAAATAATCGAGTTTGCAGAAGATGTCCTTATCCTTGATGTAGCAGCTGGTGTGCCGCCCTAGGGACGTCCTGCACACACTGCATGAGAGACAGCGCACGTGCCAGCAGAGATCATTTACCTGCAGGACATGAAGAATGCTTCAAAGTTTGTGTTGCCACATTAGTATCCCAGCTTCTTAAAACTATTCTTCCATACATACAAAAAAGGCCAAAAATTGCACATACCATAACAGATTCACAGAAAAAATGATCTTGAAGATGGCTCACTTTTCCTACAGAACCCGCACGCATGTGAATAGTTAACTGTTTGACGAAGGTCTTTTTTCGCTGTAAGCTTTATTGGCTTTGTAATTAAAGCACAGGAAAAGGAAGCAAGACTCAAGCTCCAGGTAGGCATTTTACACCCAGCTCTGCTCTCGCCGCGCTGGAGTAACAGCAAGTTACGGCCTCGCACGACCTTTGGGAGCAGCTGGCTCTTGCGCTCTCACTCCCCAGTCTGCCTGATGCGGTATGTGCAAACTGGAACTTCATAAAGTTCTTCAATATGTTGACATGCAAGCACCAAACAAATAGAATAAACATCTATCAATGATAAACACATCAGGAAGCATCTTCTATCACTGGATTTTAGAATTTAAATCCTTTAGAATGATCAAAAACCACCAGCAATTGTTTTAGTGTTAGAAATACAATATCAATAGTGAAATTTTAAATAGTTATGAAAAAACTATAGGAATTCTGGAGTTTAAATGATGTGTTTAAAGTTTGGACAAATAAACTGTGTGCAAATATTTTTTTCCATCCTTATAAAGAAAATTCTTTATCCTGAAGCAATTGTGCATCACACATCAGCTAAATTAAATATTTTGAGAACCCAAGACTCCTAGGAACAACAACAACAACAACAAAAACTAATAAGTCTCTAGATAATCCCATTTTATAGAGGAAGAATTATGTAAAACGAAGAAGGTTTTCTCTTTTCCTTTCCAAATCCAATTTTCCACTTTAAATACGTGCTAAGCCAGTTTCTCACAGCGCTCGGCGAGGTCTCCGGTGCAAACGTTGCAGGCGGCCGCGGCAGCTCGGGACGAGCAGGGCGGGAGGTCGGGATCTCTCTCCGCTCA